TGTCTTGGTGGGGAGGAAGAGGGGGTCGAGGCGGAGCTCCTGAGCTCAGCGGCAGGGTGAGGGGTGGCCGGTGGCCGCAGAACGGCGAGCGGCGGCGATGGGCTCCGTTCGGGAAGAGAGCAGAGGAGGGGGAAAAGCGCTTGAGAGAGTTAGAGAGCCTGGGGGAGGGGGTCGCGTAGCATCGCAGAGGGAGTCGAGGGCGACGAGGGGGCAGCCAGGCAGGCAGCTGCCGGCATGGCACGCCGCGGCGTCGTGGCTGTCTTCTCCTCTGCCTTCTGGCAGGAGGAAGAAGACGCCCCTGCCCTCGGTTGGCCGACCAGGTGGCTGGGCCTCTGCTACAGGACCAGGACACGTGAGGTAAGCCCAGGTTAGTTTCATTTCTCTCTGTTTTATATTTTCTGTTTTGTTTTCTTTGTTTATTTCTTTTGCCACTGTTTTCAAATAGAACAAATCCAAACCACTGACAAAATTCCTCTGAATATTTTTATGTTGCTTAATGGACTTTTACAAAAGCACATAAAATGTTTCAGGGTATTTGGAAATATATTCTATACAAGTTATGAATATAATTCCAAATGCAAATAAAATAATTATTTAAATTCAGTGCCCAAGATATTCCTCAAAAATGCTCATTATTTTTGGTTTGGTGCAAAAACCTTTGCCAAATATAACCAACATTATTTAAGGCCATTTTTGAAATATTGAAAGCAATTTCCAGGGTTCTTTGCCCTACTTTTAATTAAAGTTTTGAGGCTTCAACAATCCTCAATTCAAGTTTCAGAAATTTAAATATGATGCCTGGATGAAGATGCAACTATTTACAAACAATATTCTAGGGCTGTGACAGAAGGCCCCAAGGTTGAGAACAGAGTCTACCTTTATTGCATGTGCCATGGAGTCTATGAATCAAAGGTTTCTGAAGCAAGTAGACAGCGGAACAAGACCACAGCCAGGACTAACTACGGGGCTAAAATTAGGTTGAAGAAGGAAAAGGATGGAACACATGTCGTAAAAGAGATAATCTGGGAATACAACCACAGGCTACAGCTCACCACAGAAATGCTTGTCTTTTTGCACTCCCTCAAAAACTTTGACAAGACAATCTTGGAGTACATCAAGTACCTGCAGTTCAAAGGCATTGAACACACACAAATCATGAGCATAATGGGCGGAGATGATCCTGGTAGCTACTTCCTCAAAATGAATGCCAAAGACCTAATTAACATGTAAGTACAAACTTGTTCTCCTCCCAAAAAACCCCTCTGTCATTTTTCAACTGTTAGTACAAATATATTAAGCAACGAATTACCTGATGCCAGTTCAACATGCATTTTTGCAATGACTATTGACTTTTAATATGCAGCAAAGCAAAGAATTCAAGGATGGATGATGTGTACGATATCATGAAGACTGTCAACTTCTTTAGGGAGATGAAAGCAATAAGCAGGGAATTCTTCTACGACATACAACTTGATGAGTCCGACAGAGTGAAGAACATATTCTGGGCGAACGCGGGCTGCCGAGGGGCATACCAAGACTTTGGTGACTGCGTGACGTTTGGCACCACGTATAAGACCAACAAATACCATATGCCGCTTAGAGTGTTTGTGGGTACTAACAACCACTTTCAGACTACAATCATTGCTTTCGCCCTGATTAGAGATGATGATGTAGATTCATTCAGATGGCTTTTCAAAACATTTTTAAAATGCATGAGAGGGAAGGCTCCTACATGCATCCTCACAGATACAACCGCAAAAACCCCCATAACCCTAAACCCACACCTTAAAAAAGGAAAATAACACAGTAGAAATGTTGTGTCAGTTCTATTTGTATATATGCACAACCATCTGCTGACCACTCTGAGTCTATTTTCTCATTACCAGATTAGTGCCCGGCAATGGCTTTGGCGATCCCATATGTTTTCAAGAGCACAATACATAAGCTATGCCGCTGGCACATTATGAAGAAGTACAGGGAACACCTCACATACCTGTACGACCTCCACAAAACCTTTAAGGATGAATTCACAACAATCCTCAACTGGCCCCTCATGCCAACTGAGTTTGAGACTGCCTGGAAATATCTCATGGATAGGTACAACCTCCATGATGATGCCACTATGGTGGCAATGTGGAACGAGCGCGAGAAATGGATATCAACTTACTTCAAAGAAATTTTCTATGCCAGAATGACATCGACACAACGGAGTGAGAGCATGAACTATGTGCTAAAGAAGAACTACGTATGTGAGAGACAAAACCTGCACCGGTTTGTTAGCCAGGTAAACATCTACGTCAAAAATAGGAGGCAGGCAAAAAACAAGGAGACAATGAGTAACCGGGTATAGCTCTATCACCTATCGTAAGAAATAATGTGCTTACTAAAGTAATTCTTTCTTAGTTAGACAAGTTATTGCTGCAAGAAAACTAATAATTTGTTCAACACTCTTGCTTGCGCAGAATAAAACAAACACACTGACCCTCTATGGGTTCGACACTCAGATGGCAAAAGTTTAATCATGAGCTATGTACAGCGAGATTAGAAAAAGGCTAAAGCTGAGCACCCCCTTCACGGTGAAGGACACGGAAGAGCCCACAAAGTACCTTGTACACTACAACAAACCACAAACATCGTGTGCGTTGTCTCAGTACGCATTCCAGGTGGTTGGAAACCCCGTGGGAGAAATATACGACTGTGAGTGCAAGCTCTGGGACCACACAGGTGAGTACTAAAAAACATGTTACACATTGTACTACTAATTTTTGCAAAAGTTTTTGTTCGAATGAAATGACAGAAAACATGCACCTCTTCCAAAAAACAGGTATTTTCTGCGTGCATGTCCTGTGCATGATGCAAACAATTAAGGCTAAGAGCGTTCTAGGGAAATACATCCTCAGGAGATACACCAAACGCCCAAACATCCAGCCAACCTTCAACATAAATGACTTGAGGACAGCAGTGTCAAACAAGGCCTCCCAATACTGCATTGAAAGCGCTCTGCTGCTGCAGGTTTTGAGAGTGCACAGGAAAAGCGTGAGAAGCCAAGACCAAATGGCGAGGTCATGGGTAGTCATGGAAAGACTTGAAGAAGAACTCGACGCCATGCATTCTTCTGAAAACGGAGGTGTCATGGACAGTGAAGCAGAAAAACTTGAGCAGGATATCGCTACAATCTTATCCGAGATGAACTATATGGGAGATATTGACCCATACGACAACGAGGAGGAGGAGCAACAGCAATCAGAGCTTCCCCATGAGCACACTCAAGAGAAGCAACATGCTCATGTGGAAGATTATGAACTTGACGGTGCTCTAGGAGAACGACATGACAACAAGAGATACTACCACCACCAGCAGCAGCAAAGGGTAATTAAACCACCCATATACTCATGCACAAAGGGGAGGAAGAGTAAGACGCAGGCAGCGAAAGCAGCAAAAGCAGCATCCAAAAAGCCACCACGCCCCACCAAACGCGTGGAATATGGCCCGGACGGGAAACCTCTCGGGGTAAGGGCATGCAGATTCTGCAACTGGGTGACCAATCATAATTACCGCACATTCCCACACCGCACAGATGCCATTGCCAACAGGCAAAAGATGCAGAAGCAGATTGGAGCTGCCCAGGTCTCTACCAATGGAGACAACACACGTAGCAGCTACACTTGGAGCAAGTGTGGGGGGACTGATGGACATAATGCCCGGACATGCAAAGTGGGCAAGGAGGTCGATGGCGCTGAACAGAAACAGGGCAAGGTCCATAGTTCCAAAAAATCAGTCCCCCCACATTAAACGAAGAGGATGAAGAAGAAGATTTTGAAGAGAATGATTACCAATCAAACGAAGACAATGAAGATGACAGTATTGGGGACGAGGAAACTGAAACTGACGATGAAGCTGCCAAGGCTCAACCAGGAAAGGGCGCGAGCAAGGTACAACATTCAGGTCCAGTTAGGAGGAGCTCAAGACTGAAGAATCCATAGTGGTAATGCTGCTTCAGTACACAATGAGGAAACATTTCAGAAACACTGTCGTTACCAAAACTTATTTAGCTTTGTCGTCGATTTCTCAATCAGTACTATAGTTAAGATATAATTTGTGATTTGTGCCTGCTGGACCAGTGACATTATTATGTAAACGATTTGATAATCCTTTTGAATGCAGTCACAAATATATTTGAAAAAACTTATCTAGGTTTATGTAACGCCAACATTACTATCGACCAGTAACTCCGCAAAACTATCCTAAAAAACATCGTTTCAAAAAACAAGCTATGTCTGGTTCTGCCAGTCCTAGTTCAGAAAGTCCATCAGTACAAAATAATAATTACCTCAAGAAATGCAAATATAATACACATGTACTGATGAAAAACTAATTTATCTGTAAAAATACTTTCAAAGATTATGTTCATATAAACAATCCTTTCAAAAAACAAAAAATGTTTAAAAAAAGATTAACATGACACACACAGTCCGACTAGTATTTAGTAAGTTCAACTACACTTCAATCACCAGTCCAAGTAACGCAGTAGGGAAGTACAAACCTCCATCATCACCAACCCTGACACGTGCAAGTGGGATAAACAACTGATAAGTACAGCTTGACAAGACAGATCAGTGCGACAGTAAAATGCCATTGTCACTGACCCTGAGACGAGCGTAGTGGGATAAAGCAACTGATAAGTACAGCTTGACAAGACTACTCAGTTTGAATAGATTAATACCCTCGCAAAGAAATTGGCTTGGACGGTTGGTTCTTCCAGGCCACTGCCCGCGCTACACACTGACGGTTGCCACAAGGGACTGCAAACAGCGACACCATGACCACTACAGCCACGTTCCCGATGAACCGCCTCCCACACATCCCCGTCCACGCCCTGGAAATAACCAATTGACTTCCATCTCTGCCTCATTCCAAGAACCACCATCACCGCTTCCGTCTCCACCACAGACAACCCAGAAACTTCTCTCTTCCAAGCCCACGGTCACCGGAAGAGGGCAATGGCGGAGGAACCGTCCACCAAGCATCATCATGGCGAGACGACTGACAAGAGCTGCAACCTCGATGACGTTCACGTCCCTGGCGAGAATCACGCATACACCAGAACACTTGAAGGGGTTGAGCTCCACGGTAATGAGACGCTGGAGATCATCCGCACAAGCAAACCAGACAAGGCCGACGAGATGACCACCATGCTCTGGAGGAAGGCTGGCGGCTCTCATCGTAAGATCGTCGGTCTTGGTGTGCAGTACACCAGGGAAGACGAACCTCCTAGATGGCAGCAGTCCCGCAGTTGTGCGTGGAGGAACTCTTCCTGGTGTACCAAATCACAGTGGCCATGAAATGGTGACCCATCCTACTCAGTTGCCCTTTTTGGTTCATCTGTTTAATTAGCACTCATTTAAATTCAAACTTGTTTCCCAACTAGATGTACTAGTGTGGTTTGTGAAAGTGGATGCACTACTGCATTTTCTCAAGTAGATACACCATAAATGTATTTTTGAACCTGATGCACTGGATTACTCTTTGAAAAAACTTGCAGAAGATTAGTTTCTGAAGTTGATGTACTAGTGCAGTATCTGATCTTGATCCGGTAGTGTAGTTTCTATACTCAGTGTATTAAAAAGATGTTTCTGAACTTGATGTAGTGAAGTAGTATCTGAATTTGGTCTAATGTTATTTTCATATGCAAAAAAACTATGTATGTGTTGTCCTATTCAACAAAAGTAAATAAACTAGTACTAAAGCAGCACATACAACATTGGCTCAAACTATGTATAATCCAAAAAGAAAAATAACATGATGTACTTGAATTAAATTTCAGAACTTTGTTTACTAATTTCTGAAGTACATTCATCCATTAGTTATGCTATATAAGCATCTACTCCATGGATTCATCGCTTGTAAAACATAAACAAAAATGAAGAATTCAAACATCAAAGTAATGCTAATCTTCAAAATGTCTCTCCCCTTGCAGTCCCAAGCGCCTCAATGAGATGCTGAAGCATGAGAAGTTGTTCACATTTGCCGGTTTCAGCATTGAAGGCGACAAAGAGAAGATGAAGATGTCTGGCCTTCCAACGATCAACCCCAACAAGTATGTCGACATTTAGCAGTTCTCGAGAGTTCCATACACTGGAAAAGAGTACGACTCCTTGACTGATGTTGCACCCAAGGTCATCCACCCGTTCTACAAAGGCATGAAGAAGAACACCGACACACAAGAAGACGACAAACTGTGGGTGATCAGCCCGCTGCCAGACAAGCTCATCGAGTACGCAGGAAAAGATGCGTACGTCATGTACAAGTGATGGAACATCATCGACAACATCACAAATGGTAGGGAAATTGCAAAAGCATGGGAGGTTGACCACTACTATGACCGTCCCTTCCGCCCCTTTTAGGGATGAAGATACATCAAAGCCTGCCTTCGCTTTGCTTCTGCTTGTGCTTGCCTTTTATCTTGTTGTTTCAAATTCGTAGTTTGCTCTTGTTGGGTTCAACCAGTATGACTATGCCGTGCTTGTCATTGTTGAACAAGTTTACTTATGTCATGAAGTACATTGTCTTGCTTATCTCATTATATAAGTTTGGTAGCTTCGTATTTTGTTAATCGATCATTTCAAATTCAAAGTAGCTTCTCAATGGAACTTTGTGGCTGCTCTAAAGTACTAGTTATGAAGCAACTAATCACACAACGTTGTTCCATGTGTAGTTTCAGTTCAGTATTGTATAGAAACATAACGTTCAAAACAATCAGTACAATTTGAGTTGCTTAACAATGCTTCAAAAGTTGAAGCAGAAATTCTTAGTACTTCATGTACTGTTCTCATACATATGTAGCTACTAGAAAATTAACAAGTACTACAAACAGAAGAAGTTAAGAAGCATCAGCACACACTTATGTTGGTCACTTGCAGACTTAGAATGACAGTACTAGTACACTTGATCAGACAATACATACTTACTACAATAAAAAGTACAAAGAAGCATCAGTTCGTTATCCCCCCCCCCAAAAAAATGTTAGACTAAGAACGTAAGTGCTACTACGAGTGGACTATCGGTACAACTTAGTCTACATGCAAGTACCATAGTGTTGAACATGATACCAGAAGACCCTTGAGAATAATCACAAAAACAAGGCAAAAAACTTCAAATGAAAAAATAACATTTCCACAGAACTAGAACAAAAATGGATCAGTCCAAGTTACTAGTGGAGTCAAGTACTAAATTCAAACCAAAAAAAAGAAAAAAATTGACCGCCCGAGGACAGGTAGGCCCTGACACTGCTAGATACTTGAACTCGAGCCCACGATGGAACCGTCGGCGAATACCTAGTAATCCGCATAAGCAGGGCCAGCCGACCAGGGCCCACAGGTCATGAGAGAGAGAGAGAGCGCCGTGTATAAGCGCTCAGGTAAGTATTCAGAGGAGTTCGACTAGTAGGACTCAGCCGCGCTTATAAACAGGTCGAGAGCTTCCTCCCTTGGCGAGGTGGGACTAAACCCAGAGCACACGCACATCCAGCAGTCCCCAAAACACACGCGCGGGCCATTTGGGCCGAAAAACGGCCCAATAGCCTCCATCGTCTACAAACACCACACCAATAAGGCAAGTTAAACAAAGCAGAGCGCGGTGCAAAGAAATATAAATTACAAAAAAAATGATCGAAAACTGAATTTTTTTAAAAGTTTAACTACTAGTTCGTAGGCAATATCTTTAAAATACGAAAAATAAAAATAATTTTAGCTCTGCACCACAGATGATAAAAAAATGACAAATATGATACAGAAACAACGAAACTCTAAAAAGCACAGAACTTAATAGCCTATCTGTTGAATGTACATAATTTAAAACACCGAATTAAATATTACTTCGGAGTTCAATTACTAAAATGCAAGAAGTTCAAATAGATTTTCTTTGTCATTTCTGCTAAACTTCTTATTTATGTAAAATCTGACAAGTTCAACTACTAAAATGCAAGAAGTTCAAATATATTTTCTTTGTCATTTCTGCTAAACTTCTTATTATGTAAAATCTGACAAGTTCAACTACTAAAATGCAAGAAGTTAAAATAGATTTTCTTTGTCAATTCTGCTAAATTTCTTATTTATGTAAAATCTGACAAGTTCAACTACTAAAATGCAAGAAGTTCAAATAGATTTTCTTTGTCAATTCTGCTAAATTTCTTATTTATGTAAAATCTGTCAACACCTCAACGAACAATTTTGTCGTAAATAATCTCAACCCCCACCCCTCCCCCCAAAAAACTCAGTACAAACATACATATGACATCAGTTCTAAAAAGCAGGAACAATCAGGCCACTCACACCAGTGTGACACCAAATTTCAATACCATACGCTGTATGAAATTACAAATCAGCTCACACAACACTAAACCATAAGTGCACTAAAAAGAGAATACAAAAACTATAAAAGGCCTAACTTAGGTTCGGATAGATGAAAATAAAATAAGTCCCAGTTTTGAGCAACAACTCCCAGGGCACTGAAAAATGTTTTGAGATCAACTAGTGTATAAGACTTCAGTAGAAAAACAAGACATAACCTCCACACGGATAAACATCATAAAAAGCATACATCACTTAAACTGTGCAAAATGCCATCATCACCACCCCTGAGACGTGCTAGTGGGATAAGCAGCTGATCAGTACAGCTTGACAAGACGGATCAGTGCGACAGTAGAGACCCTTGACTTGGACGGTTTGTTCTTCCATGCCACCACCCGCGCCATCCACTGGGCGGTTGCCACAAGGGAGTGCAAACCACGACACTCATGACCACTACACCCACGTCCCCGACGAACCACCTCCCACACATCCCCCGTCGACGCGCTAGAAAAATAACCCATTGTCTTCCATCTCTGCCTCATTCCCAGAACCACCATTGCCGCTTCCATCTCCACTGCAGACAAACCACAAACTTCTCTCTCCCAAGCCCACAGTCGCCGGAGGAGGGCGATGTTGGAGTACATGTTTATCAAGTTTCATGCATTTCTGAAATTGTGAAGTGGATTGTTTCACCAGATTAGCATCTGAAACTCATGCACTAGATTAGCATCTGAAAAATGTTTCACCAAATTAATTTCTGAACTTGATGTACTAGCATAGATTCTGATCTTGATGCACTAGCATAGTTTATAGAATTGATGTATTAAAAGATGTTTGGTGAAGTGATATAGGTCCATATCTTGATGCACATGTTTCTCAATTAATTTCCGAACTTGATATAGAATTGATGAACAAAGATGTATCAATCACTGGTACAGGTCTTTTATTCAACAAAAAGGAAAACTAAACTTGAAGTAAGCAGCACATATATCATCGACTCTGGTCAATAGGTTCTTGTACTTGGTGAAGCATTTGGTGAAGCACTGAAGATACCAAAAAGAAAAATAACATGGTGTAGTTGAATTTAATTTCAGGACTTTGTGTACTAGTTTGTGAACTACATTCATCCATGACTTGTACTATATAAGCATCTACCTCATGGATTATCACTTGTAAACAAAAAAGCAGGAGAACTAAATCTTCAAAAAACACTAATCTTCAATATGTGTCTCCCCCTTGCAGGCCCAAGTGCCTCAAACAGTTCCTGCAGGAGGAGAAATTGTACACACTTGCCGGTTTCAGCATTGAAGGTGACAAGAAGATGCTGAACAAGTTTGGTTTGGAGATCAACCCCAACAACTTCATCGACATGCAGCGCAAGTGGAAAGTTCCAACGACAAACAAATTCTACAACTCCTTGGTCGATGTTGCAGCCATTGTCATCCACCCGTTCTACAAAGGCATGAAGCAGAACATCAACAAGGAGGAAGACCACAAACTATGGGGGACCAGCCCGCTGCCAGACAAGCTCATCGAGTACGCAGGAAAAGATGCGTACACCACGTACAAGTCATGGAAGATAATCGACAACATCGTGATAGGTTGGGATATTTCACAAGAGCAGGAGGCTGACCCCTACTACCACTACAACTTGCGGGATGAAGAGGCATGAAAGTCTGCCTTCGTGTTGCTCGCGCTTCTACTTGTCCTTAATCTAATTGTTTCAGATTTGTAGTTTGCTTTCGATAGGTTGAACCAGCTTCCTTATGTTATGTGTGTCAGGGTTTGAACAAGTTTGCCTAGGTCTATCAAGTACATCGTTTGCTTATATCGTTCGACAAGTTTGCTAGCTTCCTATTTTGTTTATCCATCATTTGAAGTTGAAGTAGGTTGTGAATGAAACTTGATGGCTACTATGCAGCACTAGTCATGGAGCAACAAATCACACATGGATATTTTCACAAAAAAGAATAGTTGCAGACTAACTAAGGTCAACAACAAATAGTAGCCTTGGACGCTCAGTACAACTTAGACATGTACGGTAGTACTACCACACTAAAAATCAGTTTTTAGTTTCAAAAGAACACTAAAAAGACTAAATTTTAGCCGAGGACAACATTCAGTACTAACAGAATCATTCTAATAGTAGCTAGAAAATTACTAAGTACTACAACAGGAAAAGCAAAGAACCATCAGTACGTATTTCCTAGTCACTAGCATGCTAGGATTGAAAGTACTGGTACACTTGAACACACCGGACATTCATTCTACAAAAATAAAAAGGAACGGGAAGCTTTCGTTCGCATTCCCTAACATAGTGACACACTAAGAATAACAGTAATAGCAAAATTGAAATATCAGTACAACTTAGTCTATACGGCAAGTACTATGATGATGCCAAATATTGCCTTGAGAAAAACCACAGTCTAGAAAAAAGAAGGCCAAAACTAAATCAAAAAGGTATCAGTTCAACCAAGGAGAAAAATCACAAGAAAGACAACAGAAGCATCAACCCAGATTGACCAGTGAGGTACTAGTTTCAAACAACACAAAAAAATATAAATAATTAAAGTACTAGCACAATTGAAATCTCAGTACAACTTAGTTTATTCGGTAAGTGCTATGATGATACCAATTAATGCCTTGAGAAATAAGGCCAAGACTCAACCAAATAGATTACAGTTCGACCAAGGACAAAAATTCACAAAAAAACAACAGAATCATCAGTCCACATTGACAAGTGAAGTAGTTATGAACTTAATAGG